AAAAAAAAAAAAAAAAAAAAAAAAAAATCCAAAAAATCCGAAAAAAAACTATTTTATGCAGAAAAATAAACGGAACAAGTTTTGCCTCAGGGTCACATCGAAATTCTTCACCAAATTTAGAATAAAAATTAAAATTTACAAATCTTTTTTTTATTTTTATTATTTTTATTATTTTTGCCCCGGCCGGGCAAGTGACCCCGAGCCACTCTGGTAGCCCAGGATTTTTTTAGATTTTTTTTTTTTTTTTTTTTTTTTTTGGCGCTGGGGCTGCGCGGGGTTATGCCCACGGGTCAAGCCCGGCCGGTCACCCAGTCATCAAACCGGGCGTGACGTCGGGACCCAGGCACCCAGGATATCTCCCTAGCTGACAACCCTTTTTTTTCTCCTCCTCTGAAAAAAAAAAATGAAAAAAAGGGCCCCGACCCTTGTGGTACTAGACGCCAATCAAGGGGGGGGGTACTACAGAACGTCCCACCCCCCAAGCCTTGGCCTTTCATAGGGGGTTGGCCTGCAGGCCTGGAAGATTACTAGCACCACCCAGTCACGCAACGGGTCAAGTCAAAACCCGGAGAGGCCAGCCAGGCATGACGGGGGCGTCTGCGGCAGTCCCTCGCGCCGGCTGTCGCGCTGTCAACCTACTGATTCCGTACCTCTATCAGCTTCATAATAGCCTCTGCCAACCCGGTTACCCTTTCTCTGCAAGTGCCCCCATTCTATCATAGCCACTCTACCGCTTGTTCCTTCCTTGTGCGTTCAAGTGTCACTCCCTATTCCTTGACCCCTTGCTTTGGCCTCCACGTCTTCGTGCGCAGGGGCCACCACGCTAATCTTCTCTGTGTCGTTCCCGTTTAAACCGATGTCCCGAAGGACTCGTGACAATCCTCAAAACATTGCAAACATGCATTTCACCTTTTTCGGCACGTACACATCTGATAATTATATTTAAAAAAAAAATAAAAAAAATCCATGAAAACGTGCACTTACCACTCGGAACCAAACAACAATGGAGACAGCTAAGACCGCTCCGATGATATAGTTGAATCTTATGTCCCGCAGCCTCTACAAGACCACCAACCACAACGAAAAAAACAGATCACAGTTTTATCAAACATGTACTGTACGAGGGAAAGCGGGAGGAAGAAACACAAAAGATAAAATCCAACACTACATCAAACCAACTTAGGACATACCCTGCTGCATCACTGAGTGGTGCACACATGGCTTGTTAATAAGCAGATCACCAACCAAACTCTGCTGAATTGAGTAATGTCACGACTCACCCGCTGGTCAATTCAATACCATTGGGGGCATTTGCCTTCACCCAAGAAAAAAGAAAAGAGATGATATGGAAGTCGCAATCAAAGCAGCACATCCTTCGCCCATCGGCCGCAACGAATGTTGTTGTTAAGCGGTGTGTGCATGTGTGTGGGTGTGTGGGTGTGTGTGTGTGTGTCACAGAGAGAGAGAGAGAGAGAGAGAGAGAGAGAGGGAGGGAGTTTTCCAGCCATGCACGCAGAGAGAGGCTACTTCCATTGATAGGATGAGCAAAAACGGAATGAAACACACATGTAGTAGTGTATATTTCGATGTTGTAGTGGTAGATTCA